TTTCGAAAAGTAACGGATAGATATGAAACGTGATCACTGACGTAAGCAAAATAGCAGATGTTAGTTACGACCGCGAAAATGACACATTATATCATGTTTAGAGCATTCGCTAGCAACAGAACGAAAAAATGAACGCCCTCGTTTACCTACGGCGCTGTCATGAATACACACACACAAATAAAAAAAAATTAAAATCTACTGTGCATGACATGTTGCTCAATTTGGTGGCGACCGGCGGATGCACCGACAACCCGCACGATCACGTTGATTTTGGCAATTTCGGTAGCACACTGGGTGAGCTCCAAAAACTCTACAGCAGAACACGTTGAAAAATTAGACTGCTGTGATAGCCCAGTTTACTAAAGTAGGCTGCCAAGCAAAAAAGTTATCAGCCAGAGAGACCAATACAGACTACTACCAGCAGTCCCATGGTTTCCCATGTAGGATTATCTAACTAAGATGCGGCAGGGAATTATCTCTAGCAACAGTAGCAGAAATCAGAGCAAAGATCTAGTTGCATTCCGCTGCTACTAACGAGATGGCCATTCCAGTGCTATGTTAGAATTCATAGTCGATTTTCTGAAAAAATGACGTATAATGATTCAAAACCGTTATTTCTTGAATTTGGATGGGCGCCATTTCTGTCTACAGAGGAATCGTGCAAAACAGAGGATGCTGCCACTGCTGCAGCAATGATCTTATGGTAGCAGAGGTTCACCTGGTACAGAAGTGAGATGAATTCGTATAACGAATGTTGAGAAAAAAGCTGCACGTGGGTTTTTATCATATCGAACGGCTGCGTAATAGCACAAGCACAAAGACCTGCGATCAGGCCGCTGCCGAAGCGTTCGACGGGTGCATGAGAAGTATGGTCTGCAATAAAAACTTCTACATAATCTGTTCCTCTTAAGGTTCCAGTAGTGCCGCAAAACCTAGTCCTTGTCCCTCCGTTTCCTTCATCAACTATTTCAAACAGTGCCAGGACGGTCAAGCATTTCTTCAGTTACGAAGCAAAAGAATCGCTCAAGCAATTGATAAGAAAATGAACCAAACAGGCGGGAAGTTGACTGACCAATTTTGGTAATGGGCAGCGACTTCGGAAAGGCTTGCTTTTTAGTGTGCCCACGTCTTACAGAAAACTGAACGAAGTACTGGCTACAAGCCATTACTAAATGAAATATAAGCACC